GTCAGTGACCCAGTGTTTTCTGTTTTGTATTATTATTAATCCTTGATTTCATTATGTGTCATGGCTAGTATATTGCATCTTGTTTCTGTATTTCTAGCTCCCTAATTTCTTTAGTATCTCCTGATTTCCAGTTTTAGGTTTTTAGGTTTTATATGCCTTCCCTGTGTTCAATATTATGCTTTTTTCATGTCTCTGTGTCAGGCCCGCATTGCTGTGTTATGTTTTCTCCTTTACTTTGGCAGTCTGTGTCCTTTAGTTTTCCTTCCCCTTGGTCTCGTAATGTTTGATTACTCCCAGCTGTGCTCTCCTCCTGTGTCTCATTCCCTTGTTATCCCTCCTTGGTGTGTGTCGGGATTTCCCTCATGTTACAATGTGTGTGCTGTCTGTCAATCAGCCCATTTTATTTGTATTTTTTTCAGTTAGTTAACTTTTCCTGGTATCAGCAATAAAGCTGTTTTTTTGGAGTTTATGTTTTGTGTCCTGGAGTATGTGTTTGGGTCCTTTTCCTGCTTGCACACAGCCATGACACTATGTATGTTGTTTTTGTCATCATTATACTCAACATACATACCTTAAACAATTTTCTTGTAAAATATGGAAAGTAGTAAAAAGTTTTGGTTTTGAGATATGTTATGTTATGTTAGAGTCTTGTGTTCAGCAACAGGACTGACTGTGTTCAGTACTGTTTCGGGTGAGTGTGCGTTTGGGTCCAATTCCTGCCTGCACACAGCCGAAACATGACAGAAAAGGCTGTCAATAGGTTATCTATCACCAAGAATAGTCAATTTACAAAGTAATTTCAATTCTTCAACTTCAATCTTGCTACAGAATAACATAATTGATTTGCTTTTTATTAGAGCTTAAGAAATAAATAATAATATAATAATAATAACAACTCAGTAAATTATAGTATGAACTAAAAAAATCTGTGACTTGTTATTTGCAGGAACCATATTACTTTTTATTTACTTTTTATATCCTCTATCCTGGTATATCTTTATTGTCCATTACTCCATTACTTGTCTTTGACTCAATTTGTTAACTTTGTGCAAAAGTAAACTCAAATGACACACCAAGACCCATTTTATGTCAGCACACACAGAACCCGAAGCAGAAAGTCTAAGTTAACAAAGATGCACACCCATCACTCTAACTGGCGTTTTAGATTTCCTTTAACTAGGTGATGCAAAGAAAGCCTGGCTATAACAAACTGACTGATTTGAAGTTTTGGAGTGGAGTTTAATTTCCTGGTTACCTTGTGTTGGACAGCTTTCCACTGCCTTGTCTTCTCGAATTAAAAAATAAATAAATAAATAAATATTTCTTCCTTTACTCCCCGTCTGCCGGTGAGCATAATCACAGCTTTAGAAATGATACTAGCAAACATCTTGTCAGCTAAGAATGAAATTCTTCATACCAGTTAACTAACTTTTGTTAAAATTTAATTTCTAGCAATTGTAGATTTTTTAATTTCAGAAATATTATAAATTTGTTGCCCTTTGAATTTAAGGACAGAAAAACTACAGATAACCATAAACAATCACGATAACTAGCATACCTACCAGTAAAGAGCCCACCCAATCATAATTTATTATGGAACACTACACAATACAAAAAATAAAGTAAAGAAATTAGTAAAAACAATGTTTCTTACACAGTATTAGGTAGACTGAGGTGATTTCCATGCTGCTGTTGTCTCTGTTCTGCTCATTTACTGTCACAGTCGAGCCACATGCAGAAAGGATGTTGTGGTAATTGGGTGAAAGAAAAAAAAAGCACGGTGACCTTGTTTTACTTTGCTGAAAGGGTGTGTGTTATCTGGCTTCATAGACAGGTGTCATCTGCATAGCAGTAAAAATTTATGTTATGTCTTCTAATGATACTGCCTAAGGGAAGCATGTATAATGTAAACAGAATTGGCCCTAGCACTGAACCCTGTGGAACTCCATAATTAACCTCAGTGTGTGAAGAGGACTCTCCATTTA